TTGGTACGCTTCTAAATGCATTCAAGAACAGACGATTTTCAGTCTTGAATTCTTTGGTTTGTTTTTCTTTATACTTGATACAGATAACGCTTTTTCTGCCGGTAATAATGTCTTATTTCATGAATTTTCTGTAATGTCTTTGTTTTATAGTTTGTCTTTCAGATATTTTTAAATCCCTAGCTTTCTTTGTTATGTCTTCACATAACGTTCTTTCATTCAATCATAATATCTAAAGCCCTAGCTAATGTTACGTTTTTTTCCAATTTTGTCGTATCCTACACAAATGTACCACGAACATTAGCTAGTTTATGAATCAGTACTTCAAATAGAATTAAACCATTTTGGTCTAAATAAAGGACAATATGCAGATGTCTTTTTTTTTATTCAAGTATCGTATTTCGACAGATGAATTCTCAAATTCCTCAAGGTCAGTATGACTGCTGATAAAACAATCCGTGGTTCGAGACGTCATGCCGCTGAATATGCTCCTCACTGTGGGTGCGTTATAAACGTGAGAATCAGTCCCATTATTCGACACACGCACACAAAAAAAGACAGATAATGCCCTTTTGGCTGTAAGAATTGTTGTTTGACTGCCTTCCCCTCCGGCTACCATTTAAAAATTAGGGACGGCTATGCCTTGCATCCGAAACCTATCGGAGTCTCTGACCGTTTATTCCATGTCAGCACAAGGTGTTGTTCAGGTTGAAAATTCGTAACTCTAATTTCACATTTCTGAATTACATTATTCGAAGCTTAAAATCGTCAGTCTTGCCTGACAGGTTTCGAACGTAAATATACTATGAGCTCAGTCCGCATAATGTCATAAAAGCTGTTAGCACGCCTTTCTTTATCTTAGTTCAACGTAAAAGCTGCTATTCTGTAGATGTAAATAAAGACACCTTTAATTGAATTAACGAATATCAAGGCTGTTTATAATATATTGTTCTCTCGCTTTAAATAATTATAACTTATTCTATTACATGTTAACATATTTTGATATTAAAATTCAAAAAGGAACATTAGTTAAAACAAGTTTAATATACATTAGTTGGAATAGTCAAGTAGATTATTGTCAACAAAACACAATGCTGTTACTTTCTTTTCGAAGACTTACCATCATTTTCGTGAACTTTGGTTTGTACGATATACAATCTTACTTCTAGCTGATCATCGTCTGCTAGTATGATTTCAGAGCTGTTTCGTTTTATACTTCTCAACAAAACGTAATAGACACTATGTAGTCACAACAACCGTGGCCAGGTAGGTGGTCAGGGCACTTGACTCGCAAACTGAGGGTCGCGGGTTCGAATCTCCATCCCACCAAACATGCTCGCCCTTTCAGCCGTGGGGGCGTTACAATGTGACGGCCAATCCGACTATTCGTTGGTAAAAGTGTAGCCTAAGAGTTGGCAGTGGGTGGTGATGACTTGCTCCCTTCCCTCTAAGCTTTCAGATAGTTCTCGTGTAGCTTTGCGCGAAATTCAAACCATAACAACCAATAAGTACATATTATGCAAGAAGAACAAAGAATCCCATCCAACAGCCTTGACCTAGATTTAAGAGAAAACGTTATAATTTATTCCCATAATAAATTAAATAATCGATGTTAGGAGCTCGGTAGTCGTACTTACTCTTACACTTAATTTCCTTAATCGTAAACAATGGCGACGAAGTCGATCACCTGAGGCAAATAAACCTATCACAGTTCAACTTTTTTTCAAGGTTCTCACAAATAAATATAATATGTAAACTTTCTAATATAGTAGCTTGTTTATAATAGTCAGACGTTCTGAACTTAGTGTATGGCGTATATACATCCTATAGAAAAACTTGAATGTTTCTCACAAAGAGAGAGAGAGAAACAAACAACTTGAATGTTTCTCACAAAGAGAAAGACCAGCTAGAGAAATGATTAGACAAAAGTGTTTCAAAATCTATTTCGATATTTAAATTGCGAACTCACTTTAGTGCATACTACGTGTTGTAACTTTGTCAGAGGTCTGCTGGTTTAACATCACGTTTTTCTCTGGTTTAATATATCCAAACATTCTTAAAGTTGAGAAAGAATATGACAAACCACTTAAGCCTCGTCATAGAACACAATACGTTTTAATTTGTAATTACTTTCTTCTAGAAATAATTAAACATGGTAGTTTTTTTCAATCTGTGTTCCTGCGGTTCCCCGCAGAATCAAAGCAAACGCCATTAATTAGTACAATAAAACAATAATAATTAGAAATATCAATGTTAAACTTTGTTTTCGATTATTCTATCTGTGCATTTGTTTGAAATAAAGGGAACAGAATGGTATTTTCACTAATACGGCAGAAATTTACCTTAATCATTATATTAGATGTTGAGGAAGATTTATCTTCTGTATCGTTCCAAACATCTTAAAGTTAACTGGAGGATTGCAGGACGACCAACAGAAATAACTTATAATATTGGTTGTAGTTGTTCGTAACATTCACTGAAATATAATGAAAATGAGGCAAAATTATGGTACAAAACAAGAACAAAAAGGACATTGGGTAGAAATAATTACAAAATGAAGCGCAAAGACATACAGAGTGGCTACTTTCGAAAAGAGCGGGTGGTTAGGTGTGGTTGAATAGTAATTAGTACGCTGATTTTGGCAAAACTGATTAAGTGAAACTGAGCTGCGTCTGAAGAAATGATTTAAGAGTATCCAGTGATATCACCAAATTTAACTGCAATAATTATTAGTGACTCAATTTTAACTCCATCGGGTCATGGAAAATTCGTTAAGAATTTTAGGCAGTGAGGAGTTATGGTTTTCGGTAAGTGAAGAACTGTAGAAAACTTTATGCCCTCATCATTTGGTTCTTCTTCATTTGAACTAACGTCATCGGTGATTTAGCTGTAAATGATGACTTATAGGGCAGAAGAGATTAACTGGATCTGTGGTGACATCTAACTCTGTAGCGGAATTCGGAAGATATTTAATAAATCCTTAATATATTAAACTAACTCCAGGAGAAAAAAAGTGCTTTATCTGTTTCGGATTGTCATGGAAATACTGTAAACTTCAACAGACTTGAGTGTCAAAACATTATTGATAAGGGTTGTTAAAACGTCCTGGAAACATCTTACCCACTTATTAAAACATCATTTTGTAAATCTTCTTAGTAACAGAACAAGAATGGGGGGCTTTTTCGTATATAATAGATAGATAGCCACAGGCAACTTGAAGGCTAAGCAAACGATATCATACATTCTTATGGTGGACAGTTGTTCACGAGTAAGTCAAGTTTTTTCAGTTGTCTGATGTTGACAAGATCTAATCCTTCGTTATGCATGGAAAATAACTGACAACTAGTTACACATATTTAGTTTATAAAAGTAAGAGAACATGTGGTATAAAACAGTTTGGTAAATCATGTTAAAAAGCGATAATACATTTTGCTTATAATACACGTAGGAGCAAAACTGTTTGGTAAATCACGTTAAGAAAATTTAATACATTTTGTTTATAATAGTGAAAACACATATAGAAGTAATATAGTTTGGTAAATCACATTAAAAACGATAATATGTTTTGCTTATAGAGATGTATACACCTGTAGGTTATTTAAAACTACGGACAAACATTTTTACAGGGGTTCCATAGCTCAATCAATTACTTATATTAAATTCAAAATTCACTTCTTAGTACAATTTTAAGCAGATATATTAACATTAAAGCAGAATAGGTAAAAAGGTTTACAATTGTTATGTATATATTTTTATCTTAAGTTTCTTTTACATTTAATTAGTTGATTAATTAGCTCATGTTACATAACAGATTGACAATTTGAAGTGTCTGTAATCATTTCACAACACAACCTCGATTTTAGATGAAACAATTTAACAAATGCAGGTAAATCCTGTTGTTTGTTATTAAGCAAAAAGTCACACAAAGGGCCATATGTGCTCTGCCCACCACGGGTATCGAAGCCCGGTTTCTAGGGGTATAAGTCCGCAGACATAACGCTGTGCTACTGGGGACATTCAGGTAAATAATCGTTTACTTTTTATCGATCTAAGTAATTTACACCCTTGATTAACATTAACTTAGATACATTATCACCTCAAAGAATGCTTGTATTTCGTATTTGTGTGAAAAGGTGCTAAGGCTCTCTGTTGCCGTTCCTAATTTTGAAGTACTTGCCAGAGGAAAGGCAGCCAGTCGGCAGAATTCTACCGCACACCATCCACACTAAGGGATTGACTGTAACTTTTATAACGCATCCATAACTAAAGAGGCGAGAAATATTTTGTGGTATCACTAGTATTCGAACCCGGCTCGATAGCTCCAGAATCGAGAGCTCTACCACAGGAACCGTGCCCCTCGCCCTATTGTGAAAACCAAAGGAAAAAACCTCCAGGGGGTAATTTTTCTGATCCTCTCATTAGAAAATTAATTTGTGATATTTTCATAGCATTTAACACTAATGTTTCGAATGAAAAAAAACAACTTCTGTTTGGAAAATAATCCAGAAAAAACAAGACAAAAGATAATCGCAATCACGACAAAAGATAAACACAATCACGACAAAATATAAACACACAATCACGTTTACCAGAAAATTAGCATTAATGCTGTATTACATTGCTTTCAGAGAAAATTCAATAGCATTACTTAACCATACCGGAAAACATTGTTTATTCATTTTTAGGATTCAAAGATAAAATATCTTATCATACAGAATAAAACACTAAAGTTCAGCTTACAAGATCATTAATGAAGGTGATTAATTCGTAGTTTTGAAACCAATTCACTCTTTCAAAAACGCGTATTGAAATAATCAACTTAAAACCAAACATAATTGCTATTGTACAGTAATACTATTTCGAAAATAACTAAAATGATCAAATGATGAGGCGTTATGTTCTGTTTAATATAAGTTTATATAACGCCAATTTTAGTATGGTCACAAAGTTAATTTTCTCAGACTATTATATAGACTGATGTTGTTTGTCAGTCACAAACTTACCTTTTTTGCCGAGTCACTCATTAATTGTGAGACTACGTTATTTAAAAGGTTCAACGTAAAGCATTTTAACCACCAGACTCTAAATGATTGCCAGTCCGCCATTTGAGAACAAGTTTTACTTATCCATACCCTGCATCAGACCACCGTTTGTTGATGACGTCAAAGAACAGTGTCTAAATCCTAACAGGCGCCACACTCTTAGTCTTACTGCTCATTGTTTCGATCGGAGCGAAAGTGTCAGTTGTAAGTGTCGGTTAAATTTAGTCTCAAGTCTTTTATTCAACTTCGAAACTGTTCATATCATAAGACAAAAATATAATCTAAACATTTGCCTTACGTTATGTTCTTTCACATTTCAAAGCCTTTTCACCGAGGTATTCGTCCGCGTAAGAGATAACAACTGTAAAAGAATCCAGTTGAACACTGTCTTTCCTACCTTATAGAAACGCTTACATCCAAATTGTACAGATAACATCTTCCAAAAATACATACACGCAGGCAAAACACCGAGCATCCATATTGCAGTTTGAAACTGTTCGCACGAAAGCTAATAATTTTTAAAAGCAAAAAGAGGTAGAACTAAGAAGGCATCACGCGCCTATAACTTATATAAGCATGAAAGGGCGAGGCTCTAACCTTATCCAATACAGAGTGTAAGATTCGAAGCACTTCTTATAACTACCTTCACTCATTCATGTAATTAATCAACCATCTTTTCATTCTGTGGAGGAAAGATCCTCTGTATGAAAACTTTATGTTTCTCAAAGCTTCTAATATATGTATTAACTATCGCAGCCCTGAATGTTCTGGACTACGTCGAATAGCATGTCTAGTGCTGCTGTAGTCTTTATCGATCTACTTGCTAGGTGGCAGGAGCGTTCAGAAGACTGGGATAGGGGCAACTCTCGATATAGTTGGTTATATAAAAGCAAAACATAATTTATTGCAAAATGTTATCTTTACAAGATTTTTTTTCTTTCAGATCAGTTAATCGGAATTGGCTGTTTTTAACACTAAAAATATATATTTCGTTGTGAAATGGCACTAACTTATCACCTTAGCTACGACCAATAACACATTTAGACGTTTTGTTTCTTTTCTAGAACGAACAAGAAGTCAGACATATTGGGGGCGGTAGCATCGATATGGATATCGAATCTACTGTTGCTTCTTCGCTCACATTATAGCAAAGAAATAATATGGAAAGAGTATTTTTTATCACGCAAAAAAACTTGTTATTTTTACATTGGGATCAAAACATTAAAAAATGAATGCTTGATATTATAGAAAGGAAAAAAAGATGAACATTTCTACCTGAAGAACTTCATTGGTCTTCAATTAGATTGTTTTATCGAAGTGTTAAAAATATTTCCTTAAACAATATTTTAACAATATTAATACTAAAAGACTCAGTACTCGACGTTATCGGTTTTGTGTTTTTAACTCTTAATATAGTAGCATAATGTGGCTGAAAAGAAAATATTTTAACACTATGATAATTTTTATTGTTGCTATATATATTCTCGAGGGTATTTATTCTTTTAAATCCAATTTTCTGATCATAATACGCCTTTTGCAAAGAAAGTTGTACCGAAATAAAGAAAACGTTATCTAAAACATGTACACGTTATTCATGCTTCTTTGTTTTTTAATCTAGAATTTTTTTTTTTTGCTATTTAGAAGGTTTAAGTTATTGTTTTATTGTGTCTACTAGTATTTTAAAGGCGGAATGTCGTCGGTCATTAACATACCGAACACGCTGAATCACATTGTTTCTAAAGTTATATTTCAAACTTTCACAGTATGAGAACTAATGGCAGTACAAACATGTTAAAATATTTTCATTTAAGTAACGTTAAAATCATGGCCAGGTGGTTAGGGCGCTCGACTCGCAATCTGAGGGTTGCGGGTTCGAATCCTCATCACACCAAACATACTCGCCCTTTCAGCCGTGGGGGCGTTATTATGTGATGGTCAATCCCACTATTCGTTGGTAAACGAGTAGCCCAAGAGTTGGCGGTGGGTGGTGATGACTAACTGCCTTCCCTCT